ATACACCTTGAGTAAATATTAGCTGAATCCTAAATTGTCAGTGGTGGTTCCAGAGCAGCTGGATTTTGATAGGTGCTGAAAGAATTTCGTTATTCTCAAATTGTGCTAGATATCTTGTTACATTTTAGCCTGTTGGGCTTATGGTACTGTCTTAAATATTGTTATGAATCTCAACAAGTCTGGGGGAGAGCTGTTTATTTTTACATAAAGCAGAATTTCAGATCAGTCATACACCTCAAATGTTTTATTTAGCACTTTGTATTGTATAAACTAACTTTTGGGAAGGGAAGGGGGAACTTTTATATTCTACCAGAAAATAACTTTAATATCTTTGGTCATTAAAATGATCTTTTATGATGTTTGTTATTGACTATTTGCTCTGGAACGTTGGAATTGCCATACTGGATCAGCCCCATTCTCCATCTTGTCCAGTATGCTGCTGATGAGTACAGATGTTTCAGAGGAAGCAAGAAACTCCACAGGAAGCAGATGTGGGATAATCTGCCCTCCCCAAAGGCCTTCTCTTAATCTCTAATAATTAGAGTTTGGTTTAAATCCTGCAACATGAGGTTTTAGTTCCCTTCCAATACTCTTTTTGTTAGTGTTAATTGTTATAACTCTGGGTATTTTTGTTAACCATATAAATGTCCATTGCCTCTTTGAATTTTGCCAAATCCTTGGCCTTAGTAAAATCAGGTGGCAGAGAGTTGCACAATCTAATTATGTGTTGCATGAAAAAGTATTTTCTTTTGTCAATTTTGAATTTGCCATTTTTCAATTGCAGAAGCTCCCGTCTATCTTTTCTAGACAATCCATTATTTTATTTACTTCTTATTAATCTCCTTTCTATGGTAACAATCTCAATCTTTTCAATTCCTCGTCATTTGAGTTTTTCTATGCCCCCAATCATTCTAGTTGCTCTTCTGTGAACCTCTCTAATTTTCCAATATTCTGTTCAGAAAGGTGCTCTGAAGGAATAGAGAATGCTGAAAGCTCTTGTGTTTAGAGAGAAGAAATCAAATCCACCAGTCTGCAAGAGAATGAACAAATGTGTATTATTTCACCTTTAACTATAGTGGCTGCTGCACTACAGTAAGAAGGATGTCAAATAGATATAACTGAAGCATATCTTATAAAATTTGGTGGGATTATAAAAGGCTTTATCGGTTTCTTTCACTCTGTTTTTTCACGTTGGGTGGGCAGTTTCAGATACAACACCTGCCCATGAATTCTCTTGCCAATCTTTGAGGCTTTACAATTGCATTTTTTCCTATTTTCTAGTGTGTTTCTCTCTCCCTTGCTGTGTGAAAGATTTCTACAACAAGGGAAACAATGAAACTGACTGTTCACACAGTACTGTCAAATACATAATTAATCTCCCAGATTTGGTAATTTTAGGTGTTGCTTGTAACAAAGATAGGTGAACAGTTTTCAAACAGAAGTATATTTTTCAATTGATGTCCCTTTTAAAGTTATCTTAACAAATACATAAGTCTAGAGAATAGGACATGGTCTTACTAATCATTAAAGAAAAAGGAACTGTTTAACCTAATCACTGAGGGCTGGTGTACCCTTAAAACACTGCATCGGCACAGCTGCAGCGCTTAAGTGAATTCCCGTCAGCATAGTTAATCCACCTCCCCAGGAGAAGCTCTCCTCTACACTGGGGGTTAGGTTGGTATAACTACGTCGCTCAGGGGTGTGGATTTTTCAACCCCCTGAGCAACATAATTATACCGATATAGGTCTGTAGTGTAGACCTGGCCCAAGTCAATGATGGATTTAAGAGTAGAGTGATACAAGTGTCCGATCAATTTGATCGATTGAATGTTCATGGTAGCTTTTTGTATTATAACTTTGTAAGTGAATAAAAGATTTAGAGAGTCAATCTGAAGATTTCCCTTTTTACAATGTTTTAAATATATTTGTAGTCTTTTGTGGAAATTTATTCAAGCTCACCCAAATAGTTACAAATGGAATTCTAATGAAGCTTGTGGTGCTTACAGTCAGCATTCCTAGGTGTACAGGAAGCTGAGAGATTACTTTTACAAAAACATGACATTAGCAAACTATAAAATGCATGTGTACTGACGACGTTACACCTGTGACCTTTTGTCAGTGGAACACCTAGACTTCAGTTTAAACCTATCAAGCGCTGTAACAGTGGCATAATGTCCTTATTCTTAATTTCTTTTTTTAAATTTAATTGTGTTTAGCTGGTGAAAGGTGCTAGATTGACGGCTCTGGACACTGGTTATTCACACAGCTGGTATAGCGCAGGCAGTGATTGGTTGGGGCAGTGTTGGGGAGAAAGTTATCCAATGTGCCTCAGTCCTGCCCCAAGGGTAAGAAGGGAGTTCAGTCTCCAGGGCCCATTCAATCAGACATAATGTCATTAAATACTTTGTTTCTAATTCCTGTTTTATGGTGGTTTCATTCTACAGTTTACTGGTTTGTTTCATGGGTGCGTTTGCCATTAGGCACTTCATTATGTCCATTCAAAAATCCATACCAAATATTGAGAGCTTTTTTTGGCAACTTCCTGAATCTACTGATTTTTGTTTCCCTTTTTTCTTTTAGAGCTCTTCATTTTGTGGGGTGCTTGTGTTATTTTAGTGGGTTCATCAGTTTGTACCCCACGTAGAATGGCTAATACGGAATTCTTTCTTCGGTTTAAAGTTAGGACTGAAAGCACTTCTAATACATTTAGCCTCATCCAATTTCAGTATCTAGTTCATTTTTCGCAGTATTTCTAGTTTTAGTTGCCAGAATTAAGCTTTTTGCAGAGATATTTTCTATTGAAAATTCTGTACGTGACATGCACGTACACCCCTCACATGTGGAAAAAGCATGCACATATGCACCTTTCATTTCCAGTTGTCATCCCATCCTCTAACAGGCCTGAGTCTGTCACTGTTATTAATTTAGTTAGAAAGACAAGGAGGGTGAAGCAATATCTTTTATTGGACCAACTTCTGGTGGTGAAATAGACAAATTTGGAACAGCACAGGGCTCTTCGGGATATTACCTTATCCTCCTTGTCTCTCTAATAACCTGGAACCAACATGGCTGCTAACATTAATTTATTTAGATATTTGGCCTGGATAAGCATGTTATTTGTATTCTCTTCTCAGACATTTATTGTAATTGTGGAAAATACTGCTGTGTAAATGAGCATGTAGCGATCTTACACCAGCAATACTTAAAACAGGTCACCCTAGTTGCTGCTGACTGGCACCATAACGGGTTATATTTCTGCATGGATGAAGATTTCTTGAACAGTTTTCCCCAGTGCATTAGGCACAAACAGCCTTTTCTCGAGCAGTTACAGTGCAAGTGTTCCTGTTCTAGCTGTCACCTTAAGCATGTTTTGAGTCCATTGCAAGAAGAAAAAAATCAGGTTTCCCTTAATATTTGAGTTTCTGGTGTCCTGCTTCTGTTCTCTCCAGATAAAGAAAACATCTTAATTTACAGAGGGCCAGGGGAGCTACCGGAGGATGTGTGAGAGTGGTCCCCTCCGCCTTGCCCACCCCTTGGGTTATAATTATTTTGATGGGGAAAGGGCATTGGATTTAATCTTGGTTGGAAAGGTCTTGTGTGTTATCTCTTATCTCAGGATGTTCTAGTGCCATGATGTGGAAGCAATTGCCTTATGCCATATAAAAGTGGTGGCATCTGGATCATTGACACTACTTTGAGGGTCTTCTGTTGCCTATTTCAGTTAATTTAATCAGTTCCTAGTCACCATCCACATGTAAAAAGACTGTGTACATTGTACATGAAGAATTACCCTAGTCTCTGAATTTGTTTGGTATATTGCCTGAATTAGGTAACTTGATTCAATTTGCCTTGGAATAACAGTTCAGAATCTGAAGAATATGGTGATCTGACAGAGGTGGAAATGAACCAGAAGAATATTAGTGAATAATGAGCTCTTTACATAAAGCAGTGAGAGCTTTTAACAAATATCATCCTTACAAGAACTACTAGAATTAATTACATCTGTTACTTGCAAGATTTTCCGACAGTTATATTTTTGTTTGGGTGTGTGTTTCTCTGCTTTGTAAATGGGCATGTAATGCTCATTTTTCGTTTCATTAATGTTTGTGAGAATGATTTTGAAATATGAAGTTTATGTATACTTTTCATTTTGGTGAGGTGGGGAATCTGAGGTGAGATTAATGAAGAAACCAGCAACCAGTTTTCTTCCTTGAAGTTTAGTTAAAAGGTGGTGGCAAAGGAATAGACTTGATTAAACAAGAAATGGTTCATACATGCATATGCATGCACGCATACAACAAAAAGAATAAACTTGCAATATATAAGGTTAAAATATTGTAAGTTATAATGGAGATATACCTATCTCCTAGAACTGGAAGGGACCCTGAAAGGTCATTGACTCCAGCCCCCTGCCTTCACTAGCAGGACCAAGTACTGATTTTTGCCCCAGATCCCCAAGTGGCTCCCTCAAGGATTGAACTCACAACCCTGGGTTTAGCAGACCAATGCTCATACCACTGAGCTATCCCTTCCCCCAGGATAAAAGGGAGCAATTAACTGCACTCTTGTAGGAGACTGAAATATTTCCTATTGCCGTGAGGAGACCGTGCAAATGAAGAATATTGTTCTGTGCCACTGGGTTACAATATGAATCTGCTATAGCCATTCTACTGTACTAGGGTTGGAACAAGCAGCATATTTATGTGGTACTGTTCCTGCCTTAGGTTGCCATCTGGAGATGCCCCAAAGGTGCTCTGGTAATGGTGTTCTTTCATACCCAGTACATCTTGTTGATATGAGCTTTTCTAATAATGGTTCTTATCTTTATTCTTACAAGTTTGAGCATTTTGGTGTAAAACCAAGAGTTGAAATTTCACAATAAGTATTCCCAATGGAATACCTGGAGTAATTTCCTGATCCTTTCAAATCTGAGAAATCGGTTATTTCTCTCTGTCGAAATGGGGAGGGTAAGAATAACTTACATATTTTGTACATTTCAGACTGTGCAGTGAATGTTCACAAGAACTGCAAGACCTTACTGGCTGAATGCAGCAGTACCAGACCCAAGGTTGGTTTTACAACTTTTCTTCCATTATAAGATAGGAGTAATATCACCTAAATACAAGTTTCAGAGTAGCAGCCGTGTTAGTCTGTATCCACAAAAAGAACAGGAGTACTTGTGGCACCTTAGAGACTAACAAATTTATTTGAACATAAGCTACTCCTGTTCTTATCACCTAAATAGTGTGTTGTATCCAGTGGAGTTACTCTGATTTACACCAGCTAAGAATCTGACCCTATATCTTCAAATCCTTGAATAGTTTTAACTGGTCCAGCTAGTATCCCTTGATGGTTTATGTATGTGTGAGGAAACTGAGGCAGAAATCAAGTATCAGAGGGGTAGCCGTGTTAGTCTGAATCTGTAAAAAGCAACAGAGAGTCCTGTAGCACCTTTAAGACTAACCGAAGTATTGGGAGCATAAGCTTTCGTGGGTAACAGTATTTTTAATAAAAAACTCTTGTATTATGCTACAGACTGAGGTTGCTGGTCCTCTAGGTTATCT